AGATAAGGGTGGAACATCCCACTCAAGATTATAAATCACCTAGAGCAGGCTGAAGGGTGGATCTCCTGTAAGTAACATCCCTTTGATTTAGGTATGAACAGTGGCTAGTATTGCACTATAGCATACTTACTGTCTAAAGGTTTTAGTTTCTAGTGTGATTAGTACTTAGTATTTTTAGTCAAGTCACCATGTTACATGTAACTAGATGAATATTTTTTGCCAATTTTGGACATCTCATTTTCACTCCAAAGTTATAAATCACCAAATACAGGCTTGAGGGCTGGTCAGTGTTGAGTAGTATCTCTTCCCTGTGCTAAATTGTTTAAGAATAAGGAAGAGATTTTTGACAGTTATACTAGTATCTTGGTCAGTGTTTTCTAATCGAGAATCAAGTAGAAAGACCTTGTTCACTGTTAATTGACGACCTTAATTATTCCAAGTAATTAAGCATCTCAAACATTGTCTAAATTCCTTTATGTCTGCTTTACCTGACTTAAAGACATGTTCCGACATGTCTACCTGAAGTATGTCTGCTGTTTTGTGATACCCGTTCCTTATAATTAGGTCTTTGTTATGATAATTTGGTGTTTGTTTTTTCCTTTCACGGTTCGAAATACTTTTTGCAATTGTTTTTAAGGTTTAAACCAATAAATTCTATTTTCAGGTGTAATTTCAATACTTTGTTTGAGTTGTGCATGTACATAAAGAGTGATTTATGTTAAAGTTTTGGCAAGCGTGAAACAACAACTTGATTTCGAGTGCCCCTTATCTCCGGGCAGATCTGCTAAAAATGCGGGATATATCAAAGCTGGTATGTCAAATATTTAACGTGTGTTACCTACCGTACCCCTCTCAGCAAACTATCCATTTGGCACGGCGGAACATTCGTGGAAGGACTGAAAACAGCCAAGGAGTTAGAGTTTCATAGTTCGTTATCAGACGTACATAATGTACTGTAGAACTTTTAGTTATGAGATGTTAAATGTATACTTATATTTGCATGAAATACTAGAAATTTGGAGAAATCTAACCTGAGAGTATTGTACATATACCACATAGGGGTATTTGAATGATAAATACCAGTTTCGTAACTCACTAAGTATACGACCGCAATTCATGTGGTTGGTAGAAGTTAACAGGTTGACAGCAATTACATCATCATCAGTTTGGACGCCTTACCTGGATTAAGTCAACTCTTTATGGTTCTCCCTAAGAGTTTTGTCCCTCATAATATATTTTAACTTCTTAGAATCACAGCAATTATGTTACTGTGGATGAAAGTACATGTAGCAGGAGTATTTCACGTCTTGTCTGTTTTAGGGATGTTATATACATAACAGTGTGTTGCGGACAGGTGTGTAATTGGTCCCAAATCAACATTGTTTGGTATTTGTTGACCTGCCACTGAGGAATGTTCTCCAAGGTTATAAAAACAGGACTTGGGTGTAGGGTCGTCATTCTGGCAACAAGGCTGTGGACACCCGTCATTGGTTAGAGGACACTGGGAGCAGGGGATTATGGGGAGAATGCAGCAGTCCTGAAGTTTAAAAGGATGTAGGGACAGGTCAGAAAGAGCTGAACATTTTTGTTTGTCTGCCTGTCAGGGACAAACTCTGAATGTCTAAGGGACAAGATGGAGATTCAGACTGAAGCTAATTGTTGAATCTGGTAGTTTGATATGTCAGAAAAATAGCAATTTCTTCATCAGATAAAATTGTGAGAAAAGAAGTAATTCATAAAAAAATTATGTATATTATCATGAATGTTTCTGCCCACAAGTTTTGCTTCTTTGGCTGCTAAATTTACTTTCAAGTACTCTACTTGAAACTTAGAACCAATTGGCGGAATTTGTTGTACAGTATATGGATTGTGTACATTGGTAATATATTTAGTAATATATTTCATTTATATAACACATTTTAAAGCCTCGTTAAAATCAAACCACCAACTGGCCATTCTGTGGGATGCTGGGAGGTTTATGTACTCTAGATTATAGAACACCCTCCGTACCTAAACGACATTTCATGGAGATTTTAGCATTTCTCAGTGAGGACTTCAGAGCTGCAGCTGTATCCATACAGGCAAATAATTCATCAGTTATGATGGCAAAAAAGCAGGCTGTTTGCTGTTTATCAGCGCAGGCGGCGCGCACAAAGGCACGGAGGTATGCGAGCCGTCTCCCTCCCTGCTCTGCGCGACCTGACATGTAACACTCTGCATGGGTGGCATCGGGGTGGGAGGGGGGCAGCACCCGACCTCTGACACAATTTAAACTAAAACTCTTATCACATTGATATAATCTGATACAGGAATGTGTCCAAGCCATCTGCAGTTACATCTCTCACAGGTCTGACCTGCTGGGACACACAAGGATCGTCAGGGAAGGGGGACAGAGCTAAATGAACTTAAGTAGCAAGGAATTTGTTGTCTTAGAGGTCAATCTGGAGGTCGGCTGGCTTCAGGGTCGGAATGCACCAGCGTAGAGAGCCAGCCAGCTATGTCAACCTGTTCCAGCGTAGAAGCTTAAGCTCAGACGGTCAGGTTGTCCAGGTGTTCCAAAGAGCAAGGTCAGAGTTCCGGGGTCGACTGCCCTTAGGTCCGCAACAGGTCTTGTAGGTTGTAGGACAGTGCAGATTTGCGGGTGGAACTCCTGGTAGCAGTCTTTGTCACAGCGGCATAAACAGGTAATATTTAACTTGTGCATCTTCTTATACGACTTCTGTAGAGCTTTCGCTTAAATGAAGGCCTGGGTAGATGAATCTTGTCACAGTAAGTTATATGGACATCTATCGGCAAGATAGGCCAGTGTTCTGGTCAATGTAGAGAGGACCTTGGGGTGATCTTAAGCATGAGGCATCGGTGCCTTTTACGAAATATGCTAAGGCTTTGGTCTGTTGGTTTCCGACCAGAAGGTCAAGGGAAATATAAGATAGTGTAAACTTACACTTGGAGAAGGTATGCAACAGGTGCCGTGCCTGTTGATGTGTGACTGTTTCCTGGCTGCATTTACTGGAGTAGAAGATACCCTTAGGGAAGCCAGGCTTTTTGTTCTGTACGTACTTTTGTTGGGCTGTCCATGGTAAGAATCCAAAGTTACTTTTCTTCATGTTGATGAAGGTACCTGTATGTTATGATAATTGTTTAATGTTGAACTTGAGTCTAATACTTTTTCATGCATGTATTAGAGATCTAAATGGAGATCTTTGAAGACCAAAAGTTGTTGGTTGGTACCTGTTTGACTCTGGGTCCCAGGGATTGCTGTGTGGAATGTTGGAAGGGCCTTGTTTGTTTGCTAGATGTCAACTTTTTGACTCCCAGCCAAGTTTCCACATTCCAGGCCCCAGGCCTTACTCAACACATCTCTTTGACCAGTGCAAATATTCCGCCACTGCTGCCTCTAGAGCCCCTGGATGGGATATATATAAACTTCCTTTTGGTATATAGTTCAATTTTGTGTTTTTGTGCTATATGAACTTACTTACAATGTAATAAGTACTTACAATGTAAAGATACATTAAACTTAAAAGTATACTTACTTACTTATCCTCTTCATCCACAGCAAGACATAAGGCCATGACTTAGTGCAAAAGAACCCAATATATTTATTGAAAAGAGTAGAGATGCTTGGCTGGAATTGCATCACTAGCTGTCTAAAAAGCAGTAAACTTTGTCTCAAGCATTACGCCTTGAATTCAATCTACTGTACATTTTTATAGATTTTGAAGTTGTTTTGCAAGCATCTGTTTAACTTCAAGTGAAGCGTGCTATTCTTTATAAAAATAACCCTACTGATCCAAATCCGTAGTTTTACCCTTTCTGTTTCGGCCATAGCCTTGAAGGAAATTTATATCTGTGTCAGAAAATGTGATCCCACAGATCAGAGTGGAAAACACTTATCCAGATTGCTATGTCAGCTATGTGGCCCTGGGGCAGTGGAGTTCCCTCTGCCTCCACAACAGTGTGTCCCCTTTTATCCACCAATTTATCACGCAACAGATCAACCCATCATTGTCGTATTGACGGAAAATCAACCTTCATCACATGTCCTTTATTATTAGCAACTGTGTGGAAGATTTTTACGTCACCATTAAGCTTTTGGAACACTTTTATTTACTGTAAATTGGTTTTAATTCAATATTAATACGACAAAGCTATAAAGTAATCTTGTATCATCTTGCATATCATATGAGTTTTCCGAGTAGTTTTAGATGTAGGAAAAAAGTTGTTTTTCACAGTGCCATACCGCTGCCATGGTTTTCCAGGTTGTATCTAGGGGAGGGGTTGGTATGTGTCAGAGTGCTTGACATAAACCCAGGCCCCCATTCTGTGCTCAACTTCCCTACAAGCCAAATTCCTGGGCACCTTTTCAACAGGGATGTTTTGTTGTAAAGAAAGAGTGCTCAAGACTGACCTTCTAAAGGGTCTTGTGCTCCGTTTCTTGTGGTAACAAAATGCATCTAATTCTACAAGTTGTACTGCAAATCAAGTAGCTTTAGTCGTCAGCTATGGTAAAGACAGAAATGTAGTAGAAAGGTGTATATAGTGGAAAAGTTGTTATAGAAATAAACAAACAACAGACGTGTACAGTCGCTTTTGTCAATTTGTGTCTCCTCAAGCAGTGTTTTGTGCAGACTTATGCCAAAATATGGCCAAATAATCATTCCAGTGTTTTAGATATAGTGGCCATTCTTTAGGTGTGATCTATAGAAATTATATGACAAACTGCACCTGATAAACAACAGTGACATGCATTTGTATTTGTATAATTGTAGCTACCATAAAAACATGATTCATGAACTTGACATCTCTACACCACAATCGCACTTTCCACAGTCTTGGTCAAGTTGGTGTGTCTGCCATCCATATTATTCATGAACTACCTGTTGCTCTGAGTGAATGAAATTGTGTACCGATTGCATGTTTGTGTATTGCATATGTTTATTGTATGTATGATTATGATTTATGGGATGAATAATATTTGTTTGTTACTTTTTTCACAGGCACACAAAACCACAGACTTTTGCAGACTGCATAGGAAATGGTGAGGAAATTTTTGTTAAAGTTCTTCATAAAGTTTATAGAAAGTTTATAAGATTTCTTCATAATGTTGTGGCATAACAGTTTCCAAACTGCCATACGTCACACTCCAAATTTTACAGTGCTCATAGTTGTTAAAGTTGGTTTAAGCTCTATCCTAAAACTTTTGGACTTACAGAAAAGTTCATTCCACCTCTATACAACAATGAACAAATCTACTATTGTTGCAATAATGGCTGAAATGGAAACCTGAGCAGCTACATTCTCTCCTGTTGGGAAACATTCCCAGGATAGTTCCCCAGGGAATCGCTTTGTTTCTTTTGTTGCTAGACTGCAATTCTTGCCATGCCCGCGCTGTATCGGCCTTTTCCTGTATGGCCCTGTCAGAATGTAAGGTCACCTCACCTGTAAACAGCACACAACCTGTTGACCTTGACAATAAAGATTACGTGCACAGAAAACAAAGACTTTACAGGTGGAATTTTGATGACCTCTGACCGGTTAAACATCTGATATATTTCCCATGGACATTTGGAACAATTAGAGGCACATGGCATGAAGTACAGTTTTCCAACCAAACCAAGGTTAGCTGAGGTGATATAAGATATGAATTTGAAAGTTTTTAGGAAAGAAAACTCTCATTCACAAGTATAAACTTGTTTGTTTTGCTAGATAACATTGAAATTCAACCTTTTCCCATAATATAGCAAATTGACAAAGGAAATTTTTATCCTTAGAATTATTGACATCCCAATTTTATCATAAAGGTTATTCTTAAAAATAAAACATTTCTGGTTTTTGATAGCTATATTTCTTCACACGTGGATGCTATCAGGGAATGTTTTGAGAAATGGATTGTTCTCCAATTAGACAAAATTTGATCACCAAATTTTCAACCAAATCTCCCAGTTTTCATCAGCTATCTGATCTGTAGACATGATTTTTCCGCACATGTAATGCCAGCACTGGGTGAAAATTCTGGGGGAGGCAAATTTTTCTGAGTTGGAGAAAAGTTTATTTCTCATTATTTGATTCATCAACTCAGCTGAACTTCCATGCTAACATAGTGAATGTTGTTGTTTTCCCCAGAGCTGCCATTTGGGTGGGAGGAGGTGTACGACCCTCAGGTAGGGGTGTACTACATCGACCACAACACAGGCAACAACCAGCTGGAGGATCCGCGTGAACAATGGAGAGGAGAACAGGAGAGGATGCTTAAGGACTACCTGGTCACCGCGCATCAGGCGCTGGAGGTAAAAAAAACAAAAACTCAACATTTTTGTACTATAGTGTTTTAGCTAGCCTGAAATTTTTTTCTCACATCTATTTATTTATTTATTTTCATCATAAAATGGCTGGGTAGCCCATTCAGCTGCAGCTTGTAAAAGCTGTTTTCTAACGGAGCCCAGCATACATTTACACAGGACAAAACATGATTACATTTACGTAGTCAAGCAACAAAAGGTTGACAGTCAAATAAAATCCGATGCATCAGAACAAAAGCATGTCCATAAATCAAAGTCGTCATAACATTCCAATGTCAAAACAATAAAGTCAATTGGACTGGAGGTCAGAAGTTTCATGAGGCATGCGTCTCACTGCATATCAGTTTTGTCTGATGTAACATTGTGTCAAGTGCTGAAGGCACAAGGCATCGGGCTGGAGGCATGACAATCCTAGGGGAAATTTTGACCCTCTGAAACGATATTTCCAGCATTCTGAGGGACAGATTTTGCTGGTAGACTAAACTTACTTTAATCACAAATTTTTCCATATCTTGTCTGTCAAAGATAAGGGATTGGCAAAATTTTTGTCCAGTCATATGTTGACACAAGTAAATTTATTGAATAGAACATTTTTGTGTCAAATTTGATTTAGATTGATAGGGATCAGCCATGAAACCATGGCAAAGCGATTGACACTAAGGAACTACCCATTCCTAGTTCTGCTTTTGGCTAAGTGCTACGTCACGCACTTGACCATGGCTCAGGAAGGGTGAGCATTCCCTGGATGCCACAGGGGACCACGGAATGGAAAACACATTTGGCCCTGTGCAGGCCGGAAGTGATGCAATCTGGAGACAGTAAAGAATGTAACCGATAAGGGAAGAGGAATCACAGGGCTTGAATGATAACTTTCAGGACCTGAAACATCCACCTGCAGCTTTTTGAAAATATCTTGAGATTGCAGAAAAAAAAACTATCAAAATCATTTTAAGCTAAAGAAAAGAGACTCGATTTTATATGAATCGCAAATTGAAGATTAGAATACAGAAACAAAGTATGTCTAGCTCTGGTTTTGTAGAATTGCAGTTGCTGTTACAGCAAAAATGTGTATGCTGGTCTAGTGGCTTTCTCATTTTGTCCATAAGGTGGACCTAAACCATGTAACCTTATCAGTGGAAAGTATATCATTGTGGGAAAAATGCAAATCTTTAGTACACTTCAAATCTAAACTGAGCTGATCTTTGGTATGTTAAGTATGGGAATTTCTTAATGCATTTTTCCCAACATTATTCTATATGTCTACAACAATTCTATTTGTGTTGTGAGTCATTGCAAAAACCATGTTTCTCATTGTGAAAGAGTGCACACAAATTCCTCACATAGTCAAGAATTCCTTGCCTCTTACCGTTTCATTCAGAACAAGGCCTGGTGTTTCCATAGGCATCAGTGACCATTTCAGGAAAGTTCCTCTCATTCTGGAGCTGCCGGGCCATTCAGTAATGTTTTAAAGCATCTGCTGGCGTCATTACCTAAACAACTCTCATAGTAGACGCATGTTTTTGTCAGAATTCCTTCACGGCTTGGTCTTGTTCTCCAACTCCAAGAACGTTGTCTAGATTCTTTGCTGACGATTTGTACCAAATATGTGCAGCAGGAAATGTAGTTTCAATAACACTGGTATTAGTGCCAGCCAAATTTGCAGTGAGACTTGTGTTAGTTAGGTACAATATGTAAGGTCTGATGAAATACTGGAATCTTATATCAGGTATTCCTGAAACCCATGACCAAAGATCATTAACTTTGATTAAAATGAGCCCCAGACTGCTACATGTACATAAATATTCCTGCCATGCTCTCGGATTGAGCGCCCAGAATTGATTAATTAGGATACTTCCTGGTGGAGTTACAACAAGCCCATTACAGGTAATGACTGCTCCTCAAATGTACCAAATTACCGTAATGCTGGGCTATTCAATTCCCCAGTGCACTAGCAACCCAACCTCCCAGGGTTGGCTGTGTTTCACATCCAGCAAAGTCAATGCCACGCCAAGTCATTACCTCAATTGGTTTTCAGACATTTTACGTTAATATCCAAATTAAAACTGAGGGCTAGGAAGAAAATTATAGTTCACTCCCTGAAAATGTTTGTACCAAGGTACAGACTTTTCTTTCTGACTCGTTTCCATGTTTATAATCCAGTTTTGTGTAATGGTTTTTGTATTCACCCTCTAAGCCTGTTTTTCTTCATATTCCAGTGCAAACAAGAAATCTACAACATCAAGCAAGAAAGATTGGCACTGGCACAAGATGAGGTAAGGGTCTTGTGGTTAAGACCTAAGTGATGACAACCTCACTTAGTTTGGCAACGTGAGAGGGACACACCCTAACGTGGCATCAGCACATTATTTGTCAATGAAGCAATGTTTCCGCAGAGATATTTCAACAGGAAATCCCCACTGAGAAATGTAATAATGTTAGCATTTTCCAATAAGTCATCGCTGGAATTAAGGCCTTTTGAAGTATGGGATTTGGCAAGTGTGCTATCCTGACGTCATGGTATCTTTTATCAAGGATGGAATGTTTCCTTTGACGATTTTTCAATAGAAAATCCCTGTAGAGAAATGAAATAAAGTTAGTATTGGTTAGAATTTGAAGGTTAATCATATATTAAAGGCATTTTGCACCAAGTGTTAGACTTATAGTGTGAGTGCCTGTTTTGCCTGGTTATTTGAGAGTGTTATCCTACAGTATGGATCATACAGGTGACTCCAGTGATTATGGAGCTGAGGGGTACAGTTACACTCAGGTGGTGTTGGAGTTCATAACATCCCTTTGTAGTCAGGAAACTATTTTACTGGGTATATATTTCTTCAGTTCTGAAGAAAAAATGTTTGTTGTCTTTTTTTTCAGTTCCAGCACCTAAACGACGCCCTCCATGGCTGGAGGTCAAGTACTAGCTGTGAGTACAAACTAACTTACAAACTTACTTACAAACTTTTAAAAACATTTTCTTTGTACTGAATAGACACGTTTATCGCATTGTGTGTTGTATCATTTCCACACATCTCAGTTCTCTCGATACTGAATAACTGTGGGTACTGTGTTCTCACTCTTATCTGGCCATCGAATTATGGTGTTGAAATTTGCCATTGATTGCGACATTTCCACCTTTTCAAACAATCTCTTTGTTAAAGATATATCACACATGTCACAGTTGCAGTGTAGTTGATCCAAAGCCAACATGAAATGCCCTTCCTGTTCTATCCCACTGATTGGACATCTCTCTTTAACGCCTTCCCCCATCCTTTCCCTCAGTATTATTCCTTGTTCCCAGAAAAAGAAGTTTCATCATCAGTGGGCTTGTTTGTGTCTGTCAGGAGTGCAGTGGAGACTAGCTCAGCACAACACAGTGCTGAGAGTGTGACCTGTAGTTATTAAGATCCCTGCTGACAGACAGGGCTCCAGCCCGCACCCTGATTTCATCATTGGACAGAATTTTCGTGCCCATGACTGACAAGTATAACAGCCACATGGTCAAAAATTTCCACACTTCTTGTTGAATAAGACTGAAATTGGCTCAAGTTACTCCAGAACTAAAGCAGGGGTTAAAAAGAGATGAGGGTAAAAATGTGGAGCTTGCTGACAGGTCTGGGGGAATGTTGCCTAATGACTGTCCTTCATGGCAGGCCTGGTGGACGATAACATCAGTAGTTATCATCACTGCACACTCCCAGCTCCTATCAGCCTCACAGATCTGGCTGGGCAGTAATGTTATCTGTCTCCCAACCCCCTCCCCTTTCTTCACTTTGGACCTGAAGAAAGATGTACCAGACTTTTTCTGTAGGCCTGGCCAATTTCTTTCCTTGGTTTTCAAAGAAGATGGTAGTAAGAGGACTTCAGTCTTCATATTGACTCTCTAGAACTGTGTACCAAGGCACTGACTTCAGAATCGCCTGGTTTATTTTTTTGAATAAAAATACACTAGAACAAACAAATTAAACTTGTGGGCTGTACTCTTCCCAATTGCACTTTAACATATTTAATATTACTTTTCAAAAAGTTTCAATTTTATTCCAGATTGGCCATGGTTTTTTTTTCTTTTCTGTTGCTTGAATTCTTGGTCCCCATTCTTTTAAGCACAGGAAATAGAAACCTTAACCTTGAGATAATCCTAAGAAGTTGATCGAGATAGATACAGAGATGAGTTTTTGAAACCTGCAGGTAAAACTGATGCACAGGTGACCAGACCTTTCAGCTATCTGTTTGGCCTGGAGCCAACCCTTGCCACTGTGGCCACAGCCTTTGTGTACTAATTACACAGTTGCCCCACACTCTCTTTACTTTACTCTTTTCTCCTGCAAAC